ATATACATATACATATATACATATACATATATACATATATACATATACATATACATATATACATATACATACATACATATACATATACATATATACATATACATATATACATATATATACATACATATACATATACATATATATATACATATACATATATATATATATATACACACATACACACACCATATATGTGTTTGTTCAGACCCTTTCCAAAAAGTTAGAATATCATGTAAAAGTTGTTTAATTTCCATAATTCCATTCAAAAAGTTAATCTTCAATAGATGATAGATTCAGGGCCCACAATTTAAACTATTTCAAGTATTTATTTGTTTGTTTTTACATAATTTGATCTTCCAGCTCATGAAACCCACAAAAACAAGATTTCAAATAATTAGAATAATGTGGAGAATCAGGCCAAATGTTTTAAACTGAGTGTGACACTAATCTTCTACTAAAGTCAAAGCACCTGCACAGGTTTCCCCAGGTGTCATTAAATTGTCTCAGTTTGGTTCAATATGGTGAAGACTGCAGACAGAACACCTGTCCAGAAGACCATCATTGAGACCCTCCATAGGATGGGTAAGACACAAAAGTAGTTCATAGCTAAAGAGGCTGGCTGTTCATAGAGCGCTGTGTCCAAGCATATCAATAGAAAGTCTAGTGGAAGGGCAACATGTGTCAGGAGAAGATGCACCAGCAACAGAGATGACCGTGGGCTTCAGCAGATTATCAACCAGAGAAGATCCAGAATCTGTCAGAGATCCAGAATCTGTCAGAGATCCAGAATCTGTCAGAGATCCAGAATCTGTCAGAGATCCAGAAAGAGTGGAATGAGGCGGAGTCACAGCTTCAAAAACCACCACATTCAGACTCATCCAGGAGATGAACTACAACTGTCGGGTTCCTCGGTCCTCTTTGCAGATGAAAGTAAAGTGTCTTTCATTCAGAAATCAAGGTCCAAGGGTTTGGAGGAAGAAGGGTGAGGAACAGAACCCATACTGGTTGAGGTCCAGTATAAAATATCCACAGTCAGTCATGATCTGGGGTGCAGTGTCCGGTGCAGGTGTTGGTAAACTCTGCTTTCTTCAATCCAAGGTCACAGCAACAGTCTACCAGAATGTTTTAGAGGACTTCATGATTCCTTCTGCTGAGGATCTGTATGGAGATGCAGAGTTCATCTTCCAGCAGGACCTGGTCCCTGCCCATGCTGCCAGAAGCTCCAGAACCTGGTTTGATGCAACAGTGCCTGACTGGCCAGCCAACTGGTCGGACCTAAACCCCATTGAGAATCTATGGGGTCTTCTCAAGAGGAACATGAGGAGCACCAGAGCAACAACAAAGAAGATCTGACAGCATCAAGGAAATCTGGGCTTCCATAACTCCCAGTCAATGCCACAGGCTGATGGTCTCAATTCCATAACTCCCAGTCAGTGCCACAGACTGATGGTCTCAATTCCAGAACTCCCAGTCAGTGCCACAGACTGATGGTCTCAATTCCAGAACTCCCAGTCAATGCCACAGGCTGATGGTCTCAATTCCAGAACTCCCAGTCAATGCCACAGACTGATGGTCTCAATTCCAGAACTCCCAGTCAATGCCACAGGCTGATGGTCTCAATTCCAGAACTCCCAGTCAATGCCACAGGCTGATGGTCTCAATTCCAGAACTCCCAGTCAGTGCCACAGACTGATGGTCTCAATTCCAGAACTCCCAGTCAATGCCACAGGCTGATGGTCTCAATTCCAGAACTCCCAGTCAGTGCCACAGACTGATGGTCTCAATTCCAGAACTCCCAGTCAATGCCACAGGCTGATGGTCTCAACGTCACATCAGAGATTAAGACAAAGATTCACAACCAATTATTGAAGATTGACATATTGATTTGAAAGAACCATATTTTGATTGATTTGTTCTGATCCTAATTTATTTATTTATTTCTGTTAAACTGGGAAGTGTGGTCTGATGTCTTCACAGTATCATGATTTATTAAAATCCTGTTTTTGTGGGTTTCATGAGCTGGAAGCTCAAATTATGTAAAAATAAACAAATAAATACTTGAAATAGTTTAAATTGTGGGCCCTGAATCTATCATCTATTAAAGATGAACTTTCTGAATGAATTATGAAAGTTAAACAACTTTTACATGACGTTCTAATTTTCTGGAAAGGGTCTGTGTAAAGATACTAAAATAAACTACTACTTGTACAACTATTCCTTATTTGCAGTTTTTCATTTATCGCGGATCTTCAGGTACAGATCCCCCAACATAAATGAGGGATTACTGTAAATAAAAACGTTTGATATATCGGATTCCTTTCATCAGTCTCACTCTTTCTTCTGATGCTCAATAATCCAGGAAGGTAAATCCAACACAGTTGAGTCGTTTCAACAAAGAAGAATCCGTTAAACTCCTGTTTGTAGTTTTTGTAAATGAGTGACTGCAGTCTCGGGTTTAGAAGAACTGCAGTTTGGATAATGGTGCCGTGTTACGATGGCAAACACACACGCTAGGTCTGACCTCGTTAATTAGTTTTGTCCGCTTGCACTTGGAGTGGTAAATTTACAAGTTTTAAGTAAACAAAAGTAAACCGGATCAGCCACCTGAAGTTGGAAAGTCGACCCAGAATGTTGGATATTTTTTGTCCAACCCCAATTTTAAAATCTAAAATGGCTGCCTTGTGCATAAGAAATGTTAACTGCAGTAATAAAACTTATTTTTACTTCAATAAATTAGAAAGTGTTGTGCTATTTCTATTATCCAACATGTTCCTGCAGTGAATTCATAAAAGACGGAGAAACACGTTGTTTTCTTTTCTTGCTAATAACAGTTAGCATGATTACTGACAACTTCCGGAAAACTAACGTTTTTTTAGGTAAACTGAAAGACTCGTTCCCAAATCTGATTTCCAACTTTTTTAACTCAGTCGCAGCTTCAAACTCTCCTATTTCTCCAAGGAAGCGGTTCAAAAAAAGTTATCCTCAACAGGTAAGACATTTTTTGTTCACGTCCTTTACGCAGAAGATGTGAACCATCTGTTTACATTTGTTTTAGTTTCAGCTCGGTTTAGCCACGAGCATGGACGAGAAGCTGACGCACCTTCGGGACAGAAAACATCTGGGGCCCAGCGGTTGCACTCGTAGTTATCGGCGGCATCTCGACACGTGAAGCACTTGAAGGCACCGGGGTGAGGCGTGGCTGTGGAGGACACACACTTGTTCACAGCAGAAACTCACGGAGTAACAGATGCTCTAAAGATACACTTCAAAACAAAACTACACATTATTTCTCCTGGATGGTTTTCTACATTTGGCTCTGGTGTTTTCCAGCACCTTTGGACATTGCAGCTGTCTCACCGTGAAGACCAACGATCATCTGGAGACACAAAGGCCATAACAACAAAAAGGGGCTGGTGGGTGTTTGTTGCTGCTCACCCCGTTCAGGCAAAGTCAGAGCCAAATGACCACGGAAAAAACTTCTCGACACACGGACAGAGTTCAACTTCACATGGTTATTTAGTAGTTTTCTCTAACCTCTGGCAAAATACCAACCGAGTTGATCCACCACACCAGCTCAGTCGTCACAAGATAAAGACCCAGGTGCTCCTGCGGAACATCTTAATGGCTTTGCTTCTGTTGAGTGGGGATGTACACCTTAGCCCAGGTCCAACCACCCAGCTTAATGGTGGAGCCGCGACTGTTCACCAGGTGGGAATCCCCCCTCTGCAACCGACACCTGCGTCATTGGGAACATCCACGTCACAGAAGATCGAGACAAGTCTGGTGGGGACAAAGCCGGTGGAGTACCGGCACACTGGCAGCCGGTGGAGTACCGGCACACCGGCAGCCGGTGGAGTACCGGCACACCGGCAGCCGGTGGAGTACCGGCACACCGGCAGCCGGTGGAGTACCAGCACACCAGTCCAGTTTGGGTTTCGTTCTGGTTATTCAACAGAACTGGCTCCGACCTTATAGACAATATTAAAAGATCTCTAGATGATGGTAGTTGGAGCCGTGTCCCTGGACTTGAGAAAAACCTTCGATACAGTGACTCATGACTTCTCCCAGTTAGCTACCAGTTGGTTTAGCTCATATCTAAAAAATAGAGAACAGTGCGTCAAAGTTAATGGAATGAATTCTAGTCCCCAAAAATGTAAAATGGGAGTTCCACAGGGTTCCATCTTAGGTCCGTTGCTTTTCTGTTTATACATCAACGACTTAGCGGACAGTTGCAAACACGCCAAATGTCAGATTATGCAGATGACACCATCATGTATGAATCTGCAAAGACTCCACAAGAGGCAGCAGAGTTACTGAACAGGGAGATGGAGGGAGTGTCTCGGTGGTTTAAGAATCACAGTTTGACTCTGAACTGCAATAAAACAGTGTCCATGTGTTTCACTGTCCGCCGTAAAGTCTCTAATAACTTTTCAACTGTGATTGATCAAAAGGAAATCCAAGAAATGGAGGAGTTTAAACATCTGGGTGTCATTCTAGATTCCCATCTTAACTCTGAGGCTCACGTTAGGAAAGTGTTTAAAACCATTAAGACAAATCTAAATTGTTTTTGTCTTATAAGATCGTGTTTATGTGTAAAATGTGCTCAGTTGTACCTACGGCCATGATTCTGTCTCATTTCTCAAACTGTCACTGTCTGGAGCTCAATCTGCTCTAAAACCTGACGATGATGTTTTCACAAGCTCTGAACGTTTTAGTGGCCTCAGATGCAAAAACCCCAACTAATCGTCAAAAAAGCGTAGCTCCTTCTTGAATATCTTGCACCGAATACTGTTCATTTAGGTTTACTTGCATTCCCTGTTCAAACATAAAAACTACAAACATTTACTATTCAAATCCCTTGGCGACGAGGGACACTGGCATACCGCTTGTTAGAATTAATAGAAAACATGTAGCTCTAAACTCAATATAAAGTTCCTAAGACTGAATTTATGTAAATTTGTATCTCGCTGGGCTGAGAGAAATAAAACTGTGAGAAAACGCAAACATTTTTATTTGGAATCGCAGCAAAATGATATGACGCATTTACGTACAAACATAGCTGCAAATAAACTGCAACTGTGGTGACATACAAATCACTTCGACACCAAGCAGTGGTTCCACCAGTACACAAGCAGGGCGCCCCACCCGGTCAACCCAAGTGCGAACAACGACCCCCGTTCAATAACTGCCAGTACTGATGTAGCGCTAAGCTAGGGGCGCGCAATACAGACGTGCTAGCTAAAAGATACAGAGGTAGCACCCCGTTTCCCTCGCTCTACTACTACATACTACTATGTGTCTTAATTTAGTCTCAATCTGATCATTTATTCTCTTGGGTTCCTCCCAAATGTTTCTCGCACCTTCTGACTCACGGAAACTAAACCGTGAAGGGTTGGAGACGGGTTTGAGCAGCAACGGTTTGTGGCTTCGATCAGTCGTGGTGAAAAAAAAAAAAAGCGTTAAAAGGCAACGTTTTAGATTTACTGGTCTGTCTATGTCCCAACCCTCAGCTCCGGTCATGAGGTTTGGACCATGACTGAAAGAACGAGATCCCAGATACAAGGGACTGGCATGAGGTTCGTTCGTAGGTGGCCGGGGTCAGCCACAGTGAGGAGCTCCGTCATTTGGGAAATCTCGAAGTAGAGACTCTGGTCCTTCGGAAAGGAGTCAGTTGAGTTGTTTTGGGCATCCGACGATGGCTCCTGGACACCTCACATTGGAGGTTTTGGGAGCATGTCCCATTAGGAAGAGACCTTGTGACAGACCCAGAAATCACCATAGGGGTTATACGCCTTCTCTTGCCTGGGAACAACTTGGAGTCCCCTAGGAGAAGCTGGGAAGAGAGAGGTCTGGGTTTCTTTTCTGGACCTGTTGCCTCCAGTGTCTAAGTGAATAAGCAGTGGAAGGTGGAGATGGAGTGGTAGCATATCTATGATGTTGGATCTGCCACTACTGGGCTTGGTCATTAAGAATTTGAAGTTGAACTGGTTTCCCTTCTAGACTACAACTTAATTTCGCCTGCACGTGGCCTCTGCTGCGATCACAGGTGTACGTGGTGGTAATGTCACGGGAACACGTTGACCTATATGACATGGTCAGGACCAAGAGGAGCATCTTATAAATATAAAGACGTCACTTAAAAAGTGGAAAGAATGAAAAGACAAGCTCCCAGTTTCAAACACTTTGTGTTTAAGAAAATTTCCACCAGTGGGATTTCTTTACTTTAACAATTCTGTGAGCAAACTGAAAAGTTCGAGTTGATGAAAGAACGTTTACAAACCACTGATTTTTGGGCGACAATGACAAATCACTCCTACTTGAGGGATGCAGATGAACGATGTCCTCCATCGTGAAGTCCCGAGTCTGGACAGTTGTCGACCAATCACCGATAATCGCCAGCATCAGGATCCAGGCCACTGTCGGCCGAACCTCCATCTTTCATTCACCTCGAGCGCCTTCATCCACCGGTAAGGCCTGAAATATTTCAACATTGGCAGAAGGTAAATATTTCAGTCCGTAACTGTACAAATCCTGTTTCTTTTGAATAAACCAAACTGTTGTGAACAACATGTGCACTGATGAGAACGTGAGGCTGCAAACGGAACGATCCGGTCTATAAAAACGCTGTTAGCATGCTTCGTTAGCTACATTTCAGAGGAACCCCATGAGTTAGCTTCAAGCACGCAACGCTCCGCTCTTAATATTTTCACACTTTACTGAAGAAACCAGTGAAAGTGTCAAATGTTGCTCTGGAGTCTCATAAACACCAACATGTTGACGGAAAATGCTTCAATTACAACTCGTTAGCGGCGGCGGTTAGCTTCATTTTTTTGTTCTGGGTGTTTTTGGGCCCCGGTTGCTGGTTCTGTCCGTCCGTCTGTAACTGACGGACAATAAGAAGAAAAATCTTACGAGGCAGTGCAGTATGTGAAACATATTCTTTCAGAGGGCTCCACAGCGAGTCTTCCTCCTCTGTCCTCATGTCCATGTATGAACATCTCAGCGTATTCTGGTTTTGTGGCACCAGTCAAGGATCCAGTGAGATGTCACTCACTGAATTAAACACCACATGACCTGGTCCTTTACGGAGATCAGCAGATTTATGTAAGTTGGGCTCGGTGCTGAACTGCACGCTTGTAAATGTTTGTTTCTTTTACATTATGCATGCTCCAGTAAAACTGAGCCATGCACTCTGCTATAGTGCAACTACTGAATACACTGAAGACATTAAGTCATGTCTGATGATGGTACTGAAGTGATTTGACCCCAACATTTGTCCCTCAAGCCTTAGACACGTGCGCCTCAGGTTCAATCCAGTAATTGTTTAATGACCATTACAGACTGGGATCCAAGTGTCAAACTGGAGTGAACAAATTCCTCAGACGGAGGCCGGCGGCTCCCCTGTGGGTCACGTGTGTCAGAACTAACCCAAATCAAAATGTCCACCACCAGGACTGCCTTTGATGTCCAGCAGCTTGGCTCTGTAGACCAGACACACATGGTCCGAGCTCAACACGGGTCATACCACAACCTTTGTTCCACCTTTCTGCATCAGGCACTGCAGCCACAGGAAACATCAAATTTGGCTGAATTTTATTTATCTTGTAAACAGATCGCATTCTTTCCTCGGTGCTGCTGCGTGTGGACCTACTGAGTCATTTTACGAGCGCAAGCCCTTTACGAGGTCCCACTGAGCGCTGCGTCCTGTTAAAATGCTTCACGTCTTAACAACACGCATGAAAAAAGGTCAGAGACAACGGGCGAATGGATCATACCCTTCACTTCATCTGGTTCGTAATGACGCCTCCCACGAAACATGCTGGATTCACAAAAGAGCTTTAAATGGCAACAAAAGTTACTTGAAAAGTTGAGCTCTCTCGAGCCATAAAAGTAACGGTTTGTAGCAGAAACTCACATTGACAGCCACCTTTAATGAAATAGTTTTGAATTAAAAAAAATATATATCTGTTGGGGATCACTCTCAGCTACTACCACGTCAAACTCTGGGTCAATATCATCAAGATCGACAAGTTAGAGCCATTTCTGCATCTGTTAAAGCCCTAAGTCCAAAAGTTAATCATTTTAGATGTGAACACTGCGATTACTTTACGAGTTTAATAAAATATGTCCAGTGGTTCACGAGATATTTTGCTAACAGAGAGATGAGCAGAAACTGGACCAAATGATCTCTCACCTTTCATAGCAATAGAAAAATTTACTTCCTGTGAGCGATTTAAAAACACAAATTTATATTTGAATAAAAAATAAACTAAATTCAATAATTTAATCATTTTATTTAATTATATAATGCAGATTACAATACCATATCATAATATTCAGTTCTAATTATCTGTGAAAAAACAAGATTAAAAATAACTTCTGTACTTTTGTTCCAAAAATAATAAAAATTGACTTAATTCAACTTACACGTTGAGCTGTTTTTTACAGTGCAACTCTGCAAAGTAAAGAAACGAACAAAAAACAAATTAAAATATGTTTTCAAAGGACACTTAAATAGAGTATCTCATTAAATATGCCCAGTTACATTTACTGTAACAGGAGACGCCATCTTTAATAAACACGTGACATTTAGCTGAAAAGGACTCAATCCGTTTTAAAAGTATAAATACTTAGAAACTGTGAGAACAGGAGCAGTGAACTGACCTGCTGCTGGGAAGATGCTGCAGACTCAACTGAAGCAAGAGGGGAGGAGACTCCGGCAGGCTGCGGGGCGGGGCTAGGGAGGAGGGAGGGGCTACATAAATAAACTCCTCCCCGTCTTTAATGCTCTTTTTAACTGTATTAAACTGTAAAACGACAGAGGTTAGAAATAACACAAGCTTATTTGTAAAAGTAGCTTTTTACTTTTGCCTTCTTCCAACTTTAACTCTAAAAACTTTAATTTCTATCTTCTCATCCTTCTGTTCATCTTTTCTGTGGGTTTTGGTCCAGTTTAACTTGCAGATTCTTTAGTAAAAAAATTTACCTGACGAAAAGGATTTTTACTTTCAGTCTTTTCTTTCACTGCAGAATTAAAAGAGACGGTTAAAAAATAAAAGGGTGAATAAAAAACAAACGCGTTTAAGATTTTTTACACAAGTTTGAAAATCTGCATCTTCAGCATTTCAGTTGCTGTTTGTTACTTAACGCACAGATGTGTTTGCTATAATCATTTTAAACTTGATTTCAATAACCCAAACTAACTTTGACCTTAACTTGGCTTAATTTGACCCAACTTTAAATATATTCAGTTACTTCACAGTGAAATCGACTTCATCCATCCATCCATCCATCCATCCATTTTCTTTACCCGCTTATTTCATTTTGGGTCACGGGGGTCGCTGGTGCCCATGTCCAGCAATCACTGTGCGAGGGGCGGGGGACACCCTGGACGGGTCTCCAGTCCATCACAGGGACACATAGAGACAAATGAGACAAACAACCATTCACTCTCTCACTCACACCTAGGGACAATTTAGAGTTACCAATCAGTCTAACATGCATGTTTTTGGTCTGTGGGAGGAAACTGGAGTACCTGGAGAAAACCCACGCATGCACGGAGAGAACATGCAAACTCCACCCAGAAAGGCCCCTGGACCGGGGTTTGAACCAAGGACCTGCTCGCTGAGAGGCAGCAGCTCTACCAGTTGCGCCACCGTGCTGCCTGTGAAATCGACTTGAAAAGCCCAAAGCAGCAGCGATTAGCTAAGTGAGCCGTTTTCGTCCACGTTAGCTTTGCAGCACGTGGCAGAGCGAAGAGCGATGTTGATGCTGGTCGGGTGCCTCCAGGACCGTTTCTCCTGTTCTGGACAGAACATCTGTCCCCATACAAGGACACATCTGTGTGCACACGCTGCACAAATTCATCCGTCAGATTATGGCTCTTTCTTCTGAACCAGCGGGCTCAGACCGTCCCTGAGGAGCTCTTGGTTTTTCTGATGAGACCTGGTTCATGTCCACGGCACCAGAACTTCACAGGTGTCTCTGAACAGGGAGCTGTGCCTCATCGAACAATGTGAACCTTCATTGTTCCACAGAGACGCCGCTGATCCTAAAACACATTTGAATCAAACACTTGTTAATATTTCCAGCTCCGTTCAAACAATTGACAATGTCAGAGTCTGAGGTTGAAATTAAGAGACGCCGTCGAGTTCTCAACGTTTCATTTGTGTTCAAAGTTCAAAATCAGAGCGCGCACGTCCTGAAAAATCCTAAAAACAAATGATAAAGTTCAACGCACTAACGATGTCTTCGTTGTTATAAACATCCTCATCTTCCTGTCATCACAGTTGGCTCGAGAGTCAGGAAACACGGTACCGGGAGTTGAACCTGCGACTTTCTGATCACAGGCTCATCTTCTCTAACCTTATTTTCAGTCGTGGACCCCAAACTGGAACAACCTGCCCCCCAACATCTGGCAGGCCACGTCTCTGTGTTCAAGTCTGATAAAGACACATCTGTTTTCTCTGGCATGTCACACAGTGAGTTGATTTAGTTTAATTTATTCTGTGTTTCTATGGTTTTAATGTTTTTAATGCTTTTCATCCACCGACCAGCACCTGGAAACATCAGGGGACCAGTTTAAAACATCTGGAAGGAAACCAGTGAGATTTTAATACGACCAGTATGATATGATGTCATGTGGGGGAGTGGTGGAGCAGAGGTTACAAGATGGGCCTGTGATTGGAAAGTCACAGGTTCAACTCCCGGTAACTTCAACATCAAAATGTGGGTGGAAAAGGTGCAACACCCACACCTGCCTCCACCCTCATTGGCCCCACCCTAAGCCCCTGAGCAAGGCACTCAACCCCCACCATCTGCTCCTAAACAGGTCAGTCAGCTTCATTGCAGCTGAACACGCGTTACACTGAACATCACATCAGCTGGTGGACATAAATACAGTACAGTAATATTATATTCTCAAAATACTCACAATACTATGTTCATGTTACTGTGAAAAGTTATCCCCCGAGACCTGACGTCAACATCCGTCGATCTGAACAGAAATAAGCTGCGAAGAGCTGAAACATCTGCTTTAATAAGGACGACCTCTCCAAGATGGCGGCCGAATTTCCTGCGCCGCAGCAGCCGATGAGGGATCTAGTGTTTCTATATCTGTGGGTTAATGATTTGGTAGTTTAACTGGTTGAGCGCCATCTTGTGTCCATGAACTGTAATTGCAGTCTGTACAGTCAAACTGGTTTAAAAAGATGTTTCAGTCCAGCTGTTTTCACCTTTTATAGAAAGCTTCTGTTGCTAGTTGTTAATGGTTCATCATAAAAACGAATGAAACGCAGCTTCAGAAGACGCGTCTGCTTGAAGCTGAAACCGAGTCCCAACTCTCAGACTTTCACTGGAAATCTGAGCTCAATGTGTGGGAGCTGCTGAGATCCATGAATCTCATGTGGGGAGGTTAAACAGCTCACGTGAACTTTTTATATTCGAGATCTTTAATGAGGATGTTTTTGTGCTGCTTTCATTCCTAACATCGTTTACATGTCGGGTGTTTTTGTCAGTTTAATGAGTAACAATCAGTTCATGTTTAGACTCGAACAAGAGCCACAGCAGAAATAAGAACAGTTCTTTAACACGTGGGAGGAAGACTCTGGTCTGCCTCTTCTTCTTCTGTTCATGGACAGAAAACTTGTCGTCATTTAAACATACATTTGGTCAAACCGTCAGAATTCAGTACATTCCCTGGAAACTGAATCCTCTGCTCTCTCTTTTTGTTGGATTCATCTTCTGTCGACTTATTTTAATGTTTTATGTTACGTGTTTGTTTCATTTGTCAAACAGACGTCTGAAATAAAGTGACAGAACTCAAACACAGGCAAAACACAGTGTTTATATCTATATCTATATCTATCACTATCTATCTATCTATCTATATCTATATAATAATAATAATGTCATCACAATGTCAGCACTGTATGTTTCCATACAATGGCGAAATTAGTCTCTGCATTTAACCCATCCACCACCAGATCTATCTACCTATATCTATATATCTATCTATATCTATATATCTATCTATATCTATATAGCTATCTATATCTATATAGCTATCTATCTATATCTCTATAGATATATAGCTATGTCCTGCAAAAAGTGGTTAAAGTTTGTGTGACAACATGCTGTAAAGAAAAGATGAAGCGTCTTGAGCAGTTTGTTACTCAGCGTGGAGCTCCAGCAGAAAATCTAACATTTTGACATTTGAGACAAATTACTGAGAATAAAAACAGAACGTGCACTTTAGCTCACCTATCAAAGGTTTCTATGCTGTACAGATGTTGAAGCTCTCCTCTTCTTACTCTCATACAGATGTTGAAGCTCTCCTCTTCTTACTCTCG